GATTGTGTAGGTTCTCCTTCAAGTTCTCCTTTGCTCTTGGAGTGTAGGGGATGAAATCACTGTCCATACGCAGAAAAAGTACAGGTTCTTCACGAACGCAAAACACAATATATTCCTGCTATGACAAAGAGAAGAACTGTGTTGGCTAAATTCTCAAGAAAGAGTGGAGAAATGCTGATTTACGTACAAAGCTTTTCTTGCCTGCTGCGGTGGCGCAGTGGTTAGAGTGCAGTACTACAGGCTACTTCTGCTGACTGCTGGCTGCCTGCAATTTGGCAGTTCAAATCTCACAAGGCTCAAGGTTGACTCAGCCTTCCATCCTTCTGAGGTGGGTAAAATGAGGACCCAGATTGTTGGGGGCAATAGGCTGACTCTGTAAACCGCTTAGAGAGGGCTCTAAAGCACTGTAAAGTGGTATATAAGTCTAAGTGCTATTGCTATTGCTAAGCAGAGGTGTCCAACCTTGGCAACTTCAAGATTTGATGACTTCAACTCCCACCATTCCCCAGCCAGCCACGTATCTCAGTTTGGCTTTCTTTTATACACAGACCTTATGACCATCATTCTGAAGTTTCTGCAGGACTTGCTTGAATCCACCAAAGCTGGGCTGCCCCATCCCGAACACAGCATATCCTCCTTTGGCCTGCCGAAAGTTGGGAGCCCCACAAGTGCTGGAAGTATTCAGGACATCTACTTTGCCATATACATCATGGACCATAAAATATTTCCCCTACATGGAACAATAACAAAAAATGGAGAGATGTCAATGTGCAGAAGAAGGCAGTGAAGTAAATGGTCAATTAACATCTTCACAAAAATAACAAAATGGATAATCTGCAGAGGACCAGACAAATTCACGGAAGACAGTCCTATTATGGTCATTGTCTATTAATGCTCAATAATAAACATTCAGCAATATTATGGTGCAATGCACCACTCGTTAAGACAGGGAACCAGAATAGGAAGGCTACATCATGTTTCTTGGCCTCTGTTGGCCATTATGAGAAATGAGATGCTGATCCTTTGGCCCAGAAAAGCTCTTTTTAAAATGTTTTTAATCACCACATCCTTCTGAATATCTATGCATAATCCGCAACATTCACCTGGACAAGATAGTGTTCTGGAGTAGCTTCTGTAATCCGCCCCACAGTATAGCTAGCTTTCAATAAGTCGTCATGTATTTGAAATTCTTCTTTGCAATTGTAGCTGTAAGAAACACAAGACAGAAATTGAGTGGCTGGTTTTTCTGCAACTAAAATGTTTTCTGTGATTAAACAAGCATCGTAAGATTCCATTGCTTAATTTCCTATTCGCAGAAAGTTGATGCATCTTACCCAGATGCCACAAAATAAACGAACAAGCTCACAGCCATAAGTCAAATTAGTTGTTATAACTGTACTATTTTACACTGAACATATACTGTACATACTGTTATGTAGTCTATACAAAATTACAATCCAATTAATAACATTAATTGCAACTCCAAGTTGTTATCTTGCAAAACTAAGATCTAGATTCTTACAGTATATCATCCTATACCTTTTAAAACAATTAACAAAACAGTGACATACATACACAAAAACTACACACACACAGTCTTATTTGATTTGATTATCTATGAACTTGGAACTGGATAACAGACAATTGTTATGTTGTGCTTCACATGGTCAACCATTTTTCCAACGTATTTGCCACCATGTGAAAATTCTCAAATCCCATTTCTGCTTTCCAGGATCCTGCTACTAACTGTCTGGCTGTAACCAATAACAAAACTATAAATTCTTTGTTTCAAAGTGTGTCAATTTAGTAAATTTTGCAATTTAACTTGCAAGTTTTATCTGTCAACAAAAACTTGTTAATTATATTTTATGCTGTGGCTAGTTTTTTTTTTTTATTGGGGAATAAGAATAAGCAAGAGACTGCATTCAAACTGTCATACATAGGGCAGACTTCTGTGTCTGTGTTACACCAACGAAGACCACTAACTACTGACATCCTGGAGCTACAAGATTTTTCTCGTCCATTCCCATCTGAGATAACAAAACCAGGTGAGGGAACAGAATTCCTAACCATAATCCATGGCAAATGGGCTATAATCAATTTAGTAGGCGACAAGAAGAAATGGCTCGTTTTAGAGAAGCCTTTCTTAATTCATGTTCCCCAGATGTTTTCCAGATGTGCTATGCAGCCGTTGTCATCCCCAGGTATGAGTACCAAGTTCACACACTGAATACAAAATATGAAAGGACAAAAATGCTGGGCATCTTTTCTTAGCCTAACTCTTTATATAGACAACATCACAGCCCTTAGAAGACCACGAAGCTGCAGAAGGTTGAAAAGCAAAAGATTAAAGGATCTGCAGAGAATATAACAGGTGGTTGCAACTCACGTAATGACAACAGGAGCCACCTTATTAGTAATGATAGACTTGGCTTTGTTATTGTGGAGGCCAATGGTCTGGAAGGAGTGGATGCTGAGGGAATGGTGATCCTCCATGGTTCCGCTGCCGTGGATATTCTCAAATGTTGCTGTTGCTACTGTCTGCTGAGCTGTGCTGGCAGTTGTACCCATAATCCACAGGCAACTGTACCAATAAAAATAATCAGAAGATGAATAAGCAGAAGGGGAAGGTTAAGACTTCAATAATCTGCAAAGAGGAAGAGAGGAAAGGAAGGAAGGGAGAGAAAGAGAGAGAGAAAGAGAAAGAAAAAGAGAAAGAAAGAAAGAAGGAAGGAAGGAAGGAAGGAAGGAAGGAAGGAAGGAAAGAAAGAAAACAAAACAAATATATTTAGGAAAAGGCAATCAAGATTTGTTTCCATGTATTTATTTATTTACAGGACTTATATGGCTGAAGAGCCAGCTGATGGCAACATCTAAGGGATGAGAGCATGCTCACCCTATCTAACCTAGTAGGACAGGCAGATACCTTCAACGAGAGGTGCTCCCACAAGTAACCTGCTCCTCTGCCACGTAAGGCTTTAAAGGAGATAACCAGCACCTTGAATTGGACCCAGAAAGCAACGGGAAGCCAGTATAGTTCAAGTAGCAGCGATGTTACTATTTGACATTGTTATCTTCCTCGTTTCAGAACTGGAGTTTTCAGACTCCGTTCAAGAAAAAAACTGGGGACTCCTCAGGCATTCTTCACAAAACTGTGGCTGAAAGGTATAGCTGATGTTGCATAGGAATGAGGAGCCCGCAAGAACGTTTCAGGCATCATTCTAGGGATTAAAATCCTGGCATTCTGTGGCAGATCATGAAGAAGTTCTTGGCAAATGAACCAGTGCTGAAAACATTGCCCAAAACTGGGGGGGGGAGGAGGAAACATCACAAGCTAGTGATCTATTGCTGTACCCGGAGTCCATTCTGGCAACTCTGACGACTTGGAAGCCGTTTAATAAAACAAGGTAAACACTGCGTAAATAGTCTGGAAAGAAAGTATTTAGAGCCAACCATAATCCTGCAGTGTTGTGACTTGCAATGTGATCAGAGCTTCAACAAAGTCCTATTAAAGAGGTACTAGTTAAACCGGTAGCACACCAAACAGTGGTTTGGGCCATAACTTTAATTGTAGAAGTTGAGTCAGCGTGTTTTTAATAGGTAGCAACTGGCTAGGTTGAAATCTTGCAAGATGGCCAAGTATTCTAAGATATTAACCATAAGCTTATTTTGGTATAAACATCTGCAAGTATCCACATGAACTGTCAGAAGTCTCCAGATCCTATCAACCATCTAAAGAACCAAACTTCCTAGTATAGTAAGTGTGTGTTTTTCATCCGGCTCCATGAAGTTTTTTCTCAGATAGAGAGAATTACTGCTTCCGTGTCTTATAATATGCATGCAACTTTGACCAAAAAGTTCTGCAGAAGGCTAAAGACGTTTCAACCAAATAGGCCCTCTTCTACTATTGTTTCTGCAACTCGGCAGAATGCCGTCACCTATAAATCCAAGTAGTATATATCAATGGTGAAATGTAAAATGTGTTACTACCGGTTCTGTGGGCGTGGCTTGGTGGGAGGTAATGTGACTGGGTGGGCGTGGTCAACTTTTTTTTTCTTTTAAAAGCATTTTAAAATGCTTTTAAAAGGCTCTGAAGATCCCAGCTGAGTTGCCTGATCGTCAGAGGCTTTTTTTTCTTTTAAAAGCATTTGTAGAAAAAAATGCTTTTAAAAGTAAAAAAAAAAAGCCTCTGATGATTGTGCAGGTCAGCTGGGTATGTGGGGGGGAGGCAGGGATTTCTGCTACTGGTTCTCCGAACCACCCACCACCATCGCTACCGGATTGAGCAATCCGGTCCAAACCAGGAACATTTTACCCCTGGTATATATCTTCAGTGCATCATAACTGCCGAGGTGACGCAGTGGTTAGAGTGCAGTACTGCAGCTACTTCAGCTGACTGCTAGTTCAGCAGATCAGCGGATCAAATCTCACCGGCTCAAGGTTGACTCAGCCTTTCATCCTTCCGAGGTGGGTAAAATGAGGACCCAGATTGTTGGAGGCAATATGCTATTTAGTATACTGTCTTTGGTGTAAGCCACCCAGAGTCCTCGGAGAGTGGGCGGCATAGAAATATGACTAATAAATAATAATAATAATAATAATAATAATAATAATAATAATAATAATAAATACAGCAGTGTAAGCCATCAGTAACTGTGATAAGTAGCGTGAAAAAAAATTGAACCAAAGTACTCAAAAATGACTTGCTATATTGTCACAGAAACAAATTGGAACTCTCTACATGGGGTTCCCCTTGAGGAGCACCCGGAGGCTCCAACTGGTCCAGAATGCGGCCGCGCGGATAATTATGGGAGCTGCATGGCGCTCCCGCATAACACCACTCCTGCGCGAGCTGCACTAGCTCCCAGTGGTCTTCTGGGTGCGCTTCAAGGTGTTGGTTACCACCTTTAAAGCGCTCCATGGCATAGGACCTAGTTATCTTCGAGACCGCCTTCTGCCACCGACGACCTCCCATCGACCCGTGCGCTCCCACAGAGGGCCTCCTCGGGGTGCCATCAGCCAAGCAATGCAGGCTGGTGACCCCCAGGGGGAGGGCCTTCTCTGTGGGGGCTCCCACCCTCTGGAATCAGCTGCCCCCAGAGATAAGGAGAATCCAAGACCTCCATGCCTTCCGCCGTGCCCTTAAAACTTACCTTTTCCAATAGGCTGGGCTGGCCTAACAAATCTTTTAAATGATTTTAAATTTGTTTGTCTTTTTAAATTTTGGGCCAAATTGAGATATTTCTTTTTAATCTGTTCTTAATGTATTTATTATGTGTTTTTATTTGGCTGTACTCCGCCCTGAGTCCCTAGGGAGAAGGACGGTATATAAATTTGAAGTAAAATAAATAAAATAAACAAAACTTAATAGTGCTTTTTAGAAAGACCTGAGTTCAAAGGATCTTATGAAGTAGACCATTGTCTGTAAAATACAATCAATGGTTATGAATTTTTAAAATACCATAACCATGTGATTATAAATACCCTGTTTCCCTGAAAATAAGACCTCCCTGGATAATAAGCCCAATCGGGCTTTTGAGCGCTAAAATAAGCCCCCCCTGAAAATAAACCCTCCCCGAAAATATTAAAACACACAGCCAGTACCCGCCATTTCCTCTGGTTAGGGTTAGGGAGACGGAGATGGAAATCAGGTAAGACAGCAAGAGGAGCCCCGTCTTGCACCACGTGCCCCAAAATAATAAGACCTCCCCGAAAATAAGGCCCAGCACTTATTTTGGGGTTCAAAAAAATATAAGACAGGGTCTTATTTTCGGGGAAACACCGTATTCATTTAATAAGGAAGCCTGTGTGTATGTGAAACAAATTAAAATAGTTCTTTTTAAAGTTTATCATCATGAAAATTCTGCCCATCCATAGAGTAAGAAAGACCACTACTAAAATTAGAGTAGCAACCAGAATTCCAGGAACAATTTCATGAAAAGATATAAACAGCCAATCAAAACATCTTGTCTCATGTTAAGACAGATGTGATATACCATGAAAGATTCTTTCATAGAAGATTGGGCAACCAATCAGTTTTCAGTTGTTTATTTTTAAATTTAGTCGTTTATTACAAGGGTCCCCAACCTCCATTCCATGGACTGGCACTAGGCCACGGCGTGCCAAAAACTAGGCCCTGCAAACAAGCTAAGCCCCATCCATGGGATACAGGCAGCACACAAACCACATCCCTTCTGGTCCACGGAAAACCTCTCTCCATCGAACCGGTCCCTGGTGCCCAAAAGGTTTGGGGGCCACTGATATATTTGATCAATTATGTCTTCGCTTTAAAAAAAATGAGTGGCTATCTGTAGATGCAATAAGGGCAGAAACAGTAATGTTTTGCTATCCATATCATGATGAGGTAGGCCTCATTGCGATAAGGACATGTTCGATCAGGTTTGCTCCTTGTTCTCCACCAATGCTGTTCTAGGTATCTCTTTTTATCTCCTTTAGATCCTCAGAGAGAGTTCTCCTAAACAAGAAAGGTTGCTCAGATGCAATCTAGACACCCTCTTATTCCAGATGGCCTTGAGGACTTTGATTAGCAGACCCCCCCATCCCCACCCCCATAAAAATCCCAATTGGCCAATTAGTTTCCTGGGTTGTAGACCAGAGGTATTCAGCCGGTTCGTACGGGTTCGGGCAAACCGGTAGCGGCGACTGTGGGTCCCCGCCCCGGCGTAATGCCATCCTATTTAGTCATATTTTCGAGGCTGGGCGCATGCACGGAAGTTGCATTTGCGAGCAAAGTGCATGCATGGAAAGCCAGGTGCATGCGCGAGCAAAGCACATGAGCGGAAGGCTGGGTGCATGTATGGAAGGCGCGTGCACAACAAACCGGTGATAAGAATTTGTGAAAGCCACTGCTGCTGTAGATCCTCCAGAACAATCCCAATTGGTCCATTAGTTTCCCGGGCTGTACTATAAGGAGAGGTTTTTCTCCGGAGATCAGGCTGACTCCAACCCTGCTAGCTTTTCATAAGGTCTTAAAGTCATTAAAGACCAAATTTTATACTAGAGCCTAGGGCACCAGATGTGCAAAGGTACATCTGTTATGTTTAGTTATGGTAATATATGTTTGTGATTTTTCTCAGTTGCTGTCTTCTCATTTTTGTACATGTATTTGCTCCTTGTATATGTGTTTGGTTTTATTCACTTTTAATATTGTTAGCTGCCCAAGGACATTTGTTTGAGATTGGCAGCCAAATAAATTGATTAAATAAATATTTTTTTCCCTTCTAGTTCACTTTCAGTTCCCCAGAACAAGAAGTTTACAAGATAAGTTCAAGCTGTTCAGAACAGCTGGCTCCTTTCTAAGGAAGGGAGAGAGAGCTGCTGTTGCAAATCTTGAAACTTGAAACATAGAACTGCTGAGCGCAGGATATCTTCCTTTCCTTGTAGTCATTGTTCTCACCTTTGTGATTCATCCAATTACCTGGAAAAAATCCATTAAACCCCCTAATCTAAATGCAAATTACTTTTGAGTTTAAGGGAATGGTACATAGATTTTATACAAAATACGGGTTGCATCTCTATTTCCCACGCTAGAAAATAGACCCCCAAGTGAAACCTGCCATTATA